TGTTAAAATGCTTCCATATATGAGTTGCCCTTGTATAATCTTCATCTGTAATATCTTCTTCAACTAACTGACTAAAGAATTCTTTTTTACTTGGTAGTTCTGTTTCATTGAACTTGTTAAAGTCATTCATGTAGTCATAAGGATAAATAACCTTATCCGTTAGTAAATCTAAATCATAATCATCTTTTACATATTCACTCATCTTACTATATTTAAAATGCTTTGTCCAGTCAGGTCTTTTTTCATTATTCTCATATTTAGTTAGTTTAACTAGCTTATCTAACGATGAAGATAAGAAACTAAAACTATCTTTAAATTCAATTTGTTTAATTGAAAAGGTAACAAATTTCTCACTATTCTGCGCGATTACATTTATATCGGCTTTTTCACTATTCAACTTATCAAGATTAGATATTATTAAATGAGCATCATAATTTTTAAGGTTATGGAAGAATACGGGTATTTTAAAGTATCTAAAAGAAAAATCTAAATTACATTTGTTATGAGCACAACCTCTATATTTACCTGTAAAATGACAGTGGTCTTTAACTTTCTGTTTATCTTTTGTATCATTAAATGAACCTCCACAAATATGACACTTTTTACATTCTCTAAATTGTTTTTCTTCTTCATCTGTTAATTTTTCCATGGGTAAAGGGTTATTCATTTTTTCCATAATATCAACTCTTATTTCATTCATTTTATTGCAAAATACATTCATACAATCCTCACCTCTGTATAGATAAGGCTTAACTTCATCTGTGATAGAATTAACAACATTTAACATAAATCCTGACGGCTTATGATTTTGATACGTTCCCTTTAATCCTTCATTTGATAAGGTTGTTAAACATTCAAAATCACCATAAATAACATATGGACATCTCAACTTTTTATAATGGTTTTTAAAGAACATTTTTTCAATATTTTCGGGCATCTCTGTTTTTTGAACCTCGTTAGCCATACAACCTTTAGTAAGATGATTATGCAATAAGTTTTCTTTTGTAAATCCCTTTTGACAATAATGACAATAAAATTGTTTATTTGTTTTTTTATTTGTTTGTCCTCCTAAAAGTCTAGAATAGTCTTTAATAAAAACATAATGGCTTCCCTCATCATCATCAAGACGAAGAAGGTTAACATGACATATAGGTTTGGTTATTTTTGTAACTCTATCTACTCGTATTTTTTGATTATCTACTATATAAACATTTATTGAAATTTTCTGTTTATTTATTTGTTCAAAATAATCAATATCCTCATTTGAAGCTGGAAAATTAACACCTTCCCATTTAATTATACTATCATTTTCAAAAGGTTTATATTTACATATTCTACAAGGATGGTCTTTTTTATATACTTCAAAAAATTTACATAAAACACAATATTTGAAACAAAATTCATCATTGTTTTGAATATTAATACAAGCCTTCTTTAAAGAAATCCATCTAGGTAATTCAATAAATTTACCCGCTCTTGTCGGGTCATATTTATCATAATGAAATGTTATTTTGTTTATTTTATGAAGCTTTAAATCAGACCTATAAAAATTTTTATTTTCTACGCTTATTTCTATATCAGATGCCATATTATTTATTGCATTGTTTAAGTCTTCTTCGTTTAATATATTATATCGTCGTGAACGAATACTAGCAACAAAATCCTTATCTTCATCTTCTAAATGCTTAAACTGAACGGATACATCAACTAATAGTTTCATACTTTTGTTTTTATTTAAATATTCTCTTAACCTAGGTTTTTGATAATATATGTGAGTTAATCCTGCATATCCTAATTTTTGAATGTTTGTTATAGCATATGTGTTAGCATAAGCTTTTAAAGCTGTAAATACGTTAGTTCTTGTGCCGAATGTTGATATAGAATATCGTTTTAAAGCTTTTCTTACTGCTATCCCCTTAGATGCTTTATCAAGTATATTAAAACGTTTGTAACTTTGTGTTTTTTCTACTTGTTCTAGTTTATTTATAAGTGTTCCTGAAAAAGGTTTTGATGGATTATATGGGTATTCTTTATCATCTATAATAACTTTTTTTAATTGTTTACCGTCTTTATTTGTTTTAATTTTACCTACATCACTATTTAAAACATATTTCATTACAGATTTTTGTCTATTAATATCCATATTATTATAATATAGATTTTCTTTTAAGTAGTTTTTTATACCCGTGGTGGGGCTGGGGCTCTCCATACCCTTTAAGGTGGCTACCCTTTAAGCCTAGGGGGTGCCGGCTGGGCTGGCGGTTAACATTCATATTATAATATAATATGATAGTTATTGTCTTATGTTAAAAAGTCATCTACTCTATTCATAAAATCTTTTTCCATTTCCTTTCGTAATTGTTTTTGTTTTTCGTATTTTTTCATATATTGCTCTTTAGGTATATAAGGATATTTAGCATCTATAAAACGTTCAAATGTGTAATCATCGTCAAAATCATTTTCTCCTATTCGCATATTAATAAATTTAAAAGCTTCATTTGAATACAATTTAAATTTTAGTTTACTAAATTTTTCATTATTGTCTATGTATGATAAAATCTCTTTAATTGCACTTTCAACTTTATCTATTTGACTTTTTATATAATTAATAAATTTACTCCTTGTATCATTATTTTTATCTACATTTTCATAATAATCATTTATAAATTTATTTCGTTGTTTGCTGTAAAATTCTTTTACTTTTTTATCAACATTAAATGAATTATAATATAATAATTTAACCTCATTATAGAAATCAATATTATAAAATTTGCATTCTGGTATTACACTTTTGGTATAACGTAATGTCTCATCAAATGTAGGAAATGGATTTAGTTTAATATAATAATATATTTGATTATCTATTTTATGTTCTGTGTAATTGTTTAAACTATATTGTTGTTTATCTTCAACTGCTTTAACCACATTTTCAAAATCTTCCATACTGTAATCATAAACATTTTCTTTAAACTCTTTTAAAGTTTTACATACTTCACATTCTTTATAATTATATTTACAAATATCTTTAACAATATTACTAGGTATATTTAATTTATATAAGCTCAAGTTCTGTTGATTAAACTTACAGTTTTTACATATACTAACTTTATGATTAATAATTGTTTTCATTTCAATAACATTTAAGAATTTATTAATAATTTCTTCTTGTTCTAATGTTGATAAAAACATTATATTATTATAATGGTAAAATGTCTTTAAGTATATTTTCTGTTCTGGGCTAGGGCTCTCCATACCCTTTAAGGTGGCTACCCTTTAAGCCTAGGGGGTGCCGGCTGGGCTGGAGGGCATCGCCTTAAAATTAAGTTGAATATTATATTAGTGTAAAAGCTACTTAACTGATATGTTCAAGATTCTATCGATGATATGTTCAGGAGCCTATCGGTGATATTTCAAGAAGGTTCTAAAATATCGGTGATATTTCGGGAGAATATCGGGGATATTTCGGGAAGGTCTTAAAATATCGGTGATATTTCGGGAGAATATCGGTGATATTTTGGGAGAATATCGGTGATATTTCGGGAGAATATCGGTGATATTTCGGGAGAATATCGGTGATATTTCGGGAGAATATCGGTGATATTTCGGGAGAATATCGGTGATATTTCGGGAGAATATCGGTGATATTTTGGGAGAATATCGGTGATATTTCGGGAGAATATCGGTGATATTTTGGGAGAATATCGGTGACACTTTAAGAAGTTTTTTAAATATCGGTGATATTTCGGGAGAATATCGGTGACACTTTAAGAAGTTTTTTAAATATCGGTGATATGTTCGGTAGCCTGTTTAAGATAAGTAAACGCAAAAACATTTAAAGAAATAGCCCCATAATATTATATGGAAAATTCTGACATTAAACCATCTAATCAAATTTGTTCTAAATGCAAAAAGGAAAAAGGAGAAGAACATTTTAAACCAGAGCGAAAGTTATGTAATGAATGTTTAGAAGAGAAAGCCATATATAGAGAGAAGAACAGGGAACAATTGAGACAGAAAGCAAAAGAATATTACCATAATAACCGTGATAAAGAAATAGCAAGGACAATAAAATATAAACAAGAGAATCGTGAACAAATTGTTCTACAGAGTAAACAATACAGAGAATGCAACAAGGAAGAAATCAATGAAAGGAACAAAAAATACTATCAAAATAATAAAGACAATATTTTGAGCAAGCAGAAGGAAAAGGTTTATTGTTCTAATTTTAACTGCCAAGTTACTAAATATTGTTTGTCAAGACATATACAAACTAAAAAGCATCAAAAACATCTTAAAGAAACAGAACCTAAGGGTCTAGCAAACTTGTATACAATTATGCATTCATAATAATATTGATATAAAATATTATTATAAATGTAGACATAATTTTATATAGAATATTATACATAAACCATGACAGAAGCTGAATACAAATGAGAGGCGAAAAAACCTGAATAAGGTGACGATATTTTTTGATAAATATTTTAAAAAATTTTTGAAAAATGAGAATGAAACAGAGGAGTAATTACAAAAACGAAGTAGGAGATTAAATTTAAAGGAATGAAACAGATGCCGAAACAAAAAACATGAAAAAACTACTACAAGGAAAAAAGACCTAGAAAATTATAACGTTAGCGGTGCCTAAAACTGATTTTAAATTTTGTTAAAATGAATGAGATGACTGGGGCTGGGATTTTTTGAGAAATTGTTAAAAATTTGTGAAAATTTGTGTAAAAACGTTTGAGGAGCGTTAATGTGAAAATGCATAAGGTAATTCTGTATAAAATATGTTAAAAAATTTGCCAAAATTAATACAAAAAATTGATTAAGATGACAACAAAACGAAATATTATTAAAGTGAGCTATGTTGATAAAACGACATAGGGGCCTATGTAGGGTCGGGGGGCAGAACCCTACAACCAACCTTTTCCTTATTTTTTGGGGGGGGGGCCGCGGAGCGCGTGACCATATATGGGCGTGCAAAGAAGACTGTAGCTTAGGTGCTCAACTCGTTCCTGCGAATGGGCGATCTGCACTCCGAGGATGGGTTTGCTCCGCCTATCGTCGCATAGCTCCCCCGAGACTTCGCAACAGACCTATTCAGGGTGTCACCAGCGTCGAGCTGCTGGAAGAGTCCAGAGAGCCACTGCCGGATACCAAGGGGTCTTGATGAGGAAGGACACGGGCAGGGGGGGTGAATTCCAAGGCCTGGGCTGGATGCGCTGTATTTCCTGAGGTTCGTGGGCGGTAAAGATCGAGAGAGTCTTCGGAAGATGCAATGCCAGGTCGCAGGGTGCAAGCATCGAGCGCGTTCTGGCGGATTTCAAGACGGCTCCGCAGCACCGACAGGCTGGGTTTGAAGAGATGTTACGTACCTCGTTTCCAGTCACAGAGAGCCGAGGTGCACCTCTGCTTCTCACAGCCGCTGGAATCAACGCTCCTCTCCAAGCTCGTTGAGGTGCGCACCCCAAAATCGTTGATTCTCGCAGTGGCTCGAGTGCCTGCTGAGGCCCCTGTGTTGGCACCACGCGCCCGCGGCCCAGCGGACCCCGCTTCCGTGGTGTTTTCATCTCGGAGTGACGTGAGGTGAAATCTTTTGTGGAAGTGCCCCTGAGCTTCGTGGTTGTACAGGAGCGGGCCAAAGCGAACACTTGTGTCCATTCGGCTCAGGCTGTAGGCAGAGACTGCAGCAAGGTTGCTGTATGTGGAGCAAACGTGGCGGAGGATCGAGGCTTCCACTTCGATTCACCCGAAGCGATAATGGGGCTCTTTCCAGAGTACAGCACCTGGTGGTCGAGCGTCGCAGCAGTGAGGCCCTTTGGAGAGTGATGCTCGAGTCTATCCCAGGCCTGATCTGCAGATGTTGTCAGACACGGTCCAGAAGCTGGTGGATGTGTGCCGATGCTTGCAGGCAGGAGAGAGTACTGGGTAGTGTACAGGTGGTGCCTTCGCCTTGCAGTGAAATTCAACTGACTAACAGTACAACTATAGAGTAAAGGATTGTGACACCGCGAAGTAAACGGACGTCCTGACAAAGATGTCCAGACATGCAGTGCTGCACTCGAGGTAGGCATTGGGGTTGCCTATGACTGCGCAAGTTCTGAAATTAGTCATGCAAGGGACACACAGGGGTGGCGTGTTTCAAGCTCCTTTCAACGCGCCTCGTGACTCATCCTTTCGACATCGAAAGACTCGTTTGCTAGAGGCCACATCGCCAGTGATCCGATTTCAATCTGAGTTATGTCCGCCCCTGATTATTGCGGCGCTTGTCACTGAAGATCCGCTCTGCATGTCGCAAGCTGAGAATCGGTGACTCAGGCCAGGACGTGGCAGAAAGAGTTCAGCGCGAACTTAGAATGTGGACAACCCAGGCGAATTTCGACAGTTGATGTGGCAATCCTTTGAGGTTGATTACAAAGCGAGTCTAAGGCACAAGAGCTTGACTACTCAGTCTCACGGCAAACCATGCCTGGGACCCGATTGTCGGCTCGTGCTGTGAAGAATCAGTTGGGACATGATGCAAGGCCAGCTGCTTATTCTTGACCGCTCGATTGACATGGCGGCGGCGCTCGTTCACGAATACTCCTATGAGGCTTTCCATTACAAACTGAGAGAACCCCGCACATGAGGTAGACCCCGTACGGCATTGGAGGCCTGCGTCTTTGATCTGCTCGACGGCAACATGCTGGATGCAGATCGGAACATTGTGACTCTGAACAGCGGAGGAGCCGAACTTGTCTTAGGACGCTGCGCAGTCCTTTTCAAGTCCAGCACGTTGCGTTCAGGACACAGTAAGGAGGTGCTCTTGGCGGACCCCTTATGGGAGGCAGCTGTGATTGCCATGTCGGGGTTCCTTTTGCACTTGTGTGTTCACTTCCTGGGCCGACAGGAGCTGAAGTACATGCACCTGGAGGCAGCGCGAGAGCTCGTCGAGGTCAAGGTGGGACCTCTGGAAAGCTTCAGATCCGCTGTACTGGTACGGTCGGTGCGGTGGTGTGGTGGTGTGGAATGCTTGGAATCCGGCAAAAGGTGGATGAAGTCAAGCGCGCCTGGCTTACGAGACTTTCGCTTCAGCGCAGCCCTGGTCCAACCGACGAGACCAGGCCAAAATGTGCAGCAGGATGCTACGGCGATCAGCACCCGGGCAGTGACCTGAGGGATGCCCGGAACAAAGCAAACTCCGGTTGCAGTCTCTCCGTCATCGTAGGCAATGCTGGATCAACTGCGCGCAGCGCCTGAGATGTCTTCGTCTCAAGATGCTTTGGCTGCTTTGAGTGGTTCAGGGGATTCTGGCATGGCAGCACGCGTTCTGCAGCTTTTAAGGCGTGATGCTGTCGACCGCATGGCTCTTCATTTGGCGATGATCACGCCTGGAGCTAATCGGAACAGGCCAACGTCAACCCTAGCGAAAGATGACGCTTCGGCCTGAAGGCAGATCCACAGCCGCCTCAACTCGGAACAAATCCTGGAGCCCCTTCACCTGGGTCTGCTGGAGCAGGACTGCACACGAAAGCAGAATGCTCCCTTGCTCACGAGTTTCATGTCTCTGGGCTGGGTAAAGGCACTTAAAGGTGGAAAGGCCGGAAAGCAGACGCTGCCCGACGGCCCAACCGCTCAACCTCCATTTCTCACAACATGTCGCACCCACCGATTGCATCCCGTGTTCTTTCTCCACCGTCCAGGACATTGCCTGTGGAATCGATCGTTCTGGCAAAGATGTGAAGATCACGAATCTCCAGACAACCTTGCAGAGGAGTTGCATGCAGAGATGCTCAGTAATAATTCTGGACAGCGCTGCTGTGCAGGATTCTCACTGACCGTCCGGAGTTATCGAGCGAGGTGAAGCTTCGCTTGTTGATGCTTTTCTTCGTGCCCGCCTCAGCTGGCAGCCTCAAACAAAAGTAGCACCTAAACTTGCAAATGCAGCCGCCTGAAACTGCAGCAAACACCAGCCGACAGCTGAGGCCTGTGTGGCCAACGTGCCCGAGGCAGTCCATCCATCTCTGCGCGATCTGCATGAAATATAGCCCTAGCCGCACAGTCCAACAGGCAAACCGATCAAAGCTGCTGGATGTGGCACAATTGGGAGCTGACGACCAACAGGCCCCGGCCCACTCGAAGCCTCTGATTGCTGGAAGTCTTGCTCTGCAGGCTCTCATGAACATGCTGCGTACTCGCCTGATGGAAGCCGGCCTCTCATGGCAGATCGGGTTTTCACTGATTCCGAGAGCTTGGACATGCAGGTTCCAGAATCGCAGAGGCATAAGCATGCCAGCGGCTGCTCTCACCGAGTCACGAAGCAGCAGGCAAATTTCGAAGAAGTGCGGGTGGCGGGTGGCGAGCGACAGGACTCATCGACGCAAGCCGCAGCCTTCGGATCACCAGCTTCGCAAATGCTGATGGAACTTGTTGGACCCAGTCCCAAGTAGACAAAAGAACTCTATCAACTACATCGACACTCAGATCAGGTGCTGTCAACTGTGCGCTGTGTTCTATCGCACGGATCATGGCTTCCTTGCCGCGTGTACTCAGTGTCCAGTCACACGTCGTCCACGGGTATGTGGGCAATCGTGCTGCCGTCTTCCCCCTCCAGCTATTGGGCTTCGAGGTAGACGTGATCAATTCTGTGCAGTTCTGCTGCCATACTGGCTATCCCTCGTTTGCCGGTCAGCGCCTTTCTGGTGATGATCTTGAGACGCTGATTCAGGGCATGTCCACCAATCAAGTGCTGAATCATTCTTTCCTGTTGACGGGGTACATTGGCACGGCATCCTTCTTGAGGGAGATTCTCAAGCTGCGCCAGATGCTTCCAGCCAGTTGTTGCTATGTTTGTGATCCAGTCCTGGGAGACAATGGGCACATGTACGTTCCCGAAGACTTAGTCGCCGTGTATCGCACTGATGTCTTGCAGCACGTATCGGTCCTGACACCAAACCAGTTTGAAGCAGAACTACTTACCCAGATGAGTATTACTGGTATCGACGACGCAGCTGCGGCATGTGACAAGCTACATCAGATGGGACCCAAGATTGTGGTGCTGACAACACTGGATGTACCGGAAGCAACACGAGAGGGCAAGGATGTTGCCATGATGCTGTCCTTTTCTGGTCGGAAGTGGATGCTTCGGCTACCGCGTGTAGAGGGTGGACCTTTCACCGGCACTGGCGACCTTACAGCTGCAATGATACTCGCATGGACTCAGAGGAAGCCTCACGAGTTGCCTTTAGCCCTAGAAAAGGCCGGCGCGGTGCTGCAGGGAGTGATCAGGAAGACAATGGCCTCTTCCAGTGCTCAGATGATTGGCGACAGGCGTGTCCCTCCAGAGTTGCGACTCATTGAGTCCAAAGCTGCAATTGAGTCGCCAAGCATCCGCTTTCGATGCCAACTAACGCCGCCGCTCAAGGTGTCCTGTTTGGCTTTTCATGATGCAGTGGTCAGCGACAGCAGCTGCAAGGATATCCTCCAGAGCCTTTGCACAGCTGCACGGGTTTGCGTCGTGTCGGACAAGGCTGCCATGCCCAAAGACTTCGCCGCCCCGAAAGACGGGCTGAGCGTCCTCTGTGTAGAGTTAGGTGACTCGCAGAAATTGGCGAATAGCCTTTCTTCAATCGGGATCTCTCCCTGCGAAGTCCTTGCAGTTGGAGCTGCGTGCGATTATCTAGCAATGGCTGCTGCAGCTGGGTGCCGTCCGGTTGCCATGCTGGTGGGTGAAGACACAGAAGGCCGGATCATGGGTCAAGATAGAATCCCCTTGAGTGGAGCAACCTACGGAAGAGACAGAGCACAGGCTTGCAGAGTAAGAAAGCCGCGCTGAGCCCGGAAGGTCAGAGCAGCAACGGATACCCTGCAGGAGGCGCCGCAGGCGACGGAGACCACCAGTCTCTTTCAGCCAAGGCCAGGCCAAAACTCTGAAGCTTTGACCAGCAAATCTTTTGAGAGACTGTCGTAAACGAGACTTGTATTGTGTACCTGACGTGAAAGGCGGAGTTCACGATCTCTTCCTTCGACTCGTTGCGTCGATTTCTTCCAGCCTGGTCCGGCTGCCCCGAGTGATGTACCAAGAGAAGGAGAGGCAAAGACTCAGGAGCTTGCTTGACCCTATTGGCAACCTTGAGCGATTTGGGAATGTAAAGACATCTGCACAGAATGACTTATCACATCGATGAATCGATGCTTTGCCGTTCTTTTGGGAGACCCTCACCGCCTGTGCTTTTGTACAGAATCGACATTACTCAGGGTGAGTGATGAGGGCCTATTGCTCTCTTTCAGAAGGTTTCGCCATTGCTCGGTGACGAAAAGTCAGCATGGCTGCAATCAGGTCAGGTTCATGTCACAGGTGGCGGCTGATGAATTCTACATCGTCTGGGCCATCCCTGCCAGGCGGCCAGGTTCAAGAAGAACGCAGTGGCAGGGAACTTATTGATAGCATTTGATAGCACTGGATTGCTGGACGTATTTCAGCAGGAGACTGTAGAAGTCACATCAGATTTTGTCAGGGACGAGTGCTAGGCTGGACCTCGATGAGAAGTTGCCGTCTGCCCGTGTAAGAATCGGAGCATCGCCAAGGCCGAGGGTCGTTTCGAGCTTTCTCGCTTCGAGCCACGCCTCAAGGCCCTGTAAACGGCGATGCAGTTCTTCGGAGCTTGCAGATGACCCCTGAAGGAGATCCTGGAGCAGCTTGTTGAAGACCGGCTAAGCTTGGAGGAGCTAGCAGCACCGGGTGATGTTCATACGACTGTATTGCCTTGCCGGGAACACACGAAGGAGTTTCCGGTGCTCCAAAGCGCGGCGACACGCCCTGAGCATGTGGAGTTGCGACGCTCCATCCGTAGCTGCATTGTGCTGGCCGAGGGATGACTTTGGCCGCTGGCTCGTTCCTTATTCACGCGGTATGCACGACACACGTGGCGGTGCTGGAGGCCTGCGGGAAGCCGGTGCAGCAACTGCCGAGCCTCTGGGAGCTCCAGTAATCCAGGCTGCGGTCATTCGGGTCATCATTGGGTCATGCCGTGCACACACACTACGGTCTTAGTGAACTCTTGTGTCTCTACAGTCTCCGAGCCTTCTGCCGCAGGCCAAAGATGACTGGTCCTTCACCAGTGTTTCAGGTGCTGTCCCGAGGACTGGTTTGCAGCCCTGATAGTACATATCTCATGAGGCGGACTTGAAAGTGAGCACGCACAAGTATCTCATCGGGTCTTGGTCTTCGTGCTGGGCTCTCACTGCTTCTTCAGCAATTTTAGCCCTTCAATCTTGAAAGAGCAGTTTCCACCACGTGAGGATCGGTGGCTTCACTCTGTCGGAGCTAAGAGTCGCGGCTGAGGACGGTGAGAGCTCGAGTGCTTGACGCAGGTTCTGCTTTCCCTGGCAGGTGGAGCAGAAGATGCCGCGGGGCACCGAGGCGCAGCGAAGCGCTACGATATTTCTCTTCTTGGAATCGGCTGACCGGCTCTTTTGTTGGCCTAAATCAGGCCCCAACGTGCGTGCGCGACGACATACTCTGTGACAGCCGCGGCTGCATGTAGACTCAACATAGACCTTTGTGACGGCGCAGTCGCTTTGACTCTGCGACTCCCAGCTGGGCCAATGTGGGCCATGCCAGAGGTGTCACAAGACTCGGGGCTCTGTCGCAACTGCTTCGGAACCAGATGGCGTGAATGATGTTGGAGCAGCGAAGATTTGTTGTTGCTGTTGTGCAGGTCATCGTTGGGGGCACATCTCTCCTGACACCGAAAAGGCTGCTTCGGACACTCAGGCGCACCCGACCAGACCGCAACAGGAACATCTGAAGACCCACGAACGCTTAGCTGCCGAGGCCGCAGAACGATGCAGAGCCAGGTGGGCAGCATCTTCTGCAGAGCTTCGCGGACCATCCGCTCGTGGCTTCGAACCGTCCTCGCTTGCAGGTGAGATAGACTTGACGTGACTTGTCGGATCGTAGCCGCTGGATTCATTTTCCGCAAGTGGCCAAGAAAGACTGCGACGAGTCGTGACATTCTGCGATGAGCCGTCGCCAACTCCACATCAAGGTGTCATATGTGTCATCTTAGCAGGTGCAAATGTCAGATCCGCAGCGTATCTCAAGCACATGATGTGTTTGCTTTCGGAGCCCATGTGCATGCCATGTGCAGCTCATGGGAGCCAGCTACTCAACGACAGCCTGCTCGTTTTGCCTCAGACGAAAGCAAATGTCATTAGAAAAAAAGCCTTGTCCAGCAACTTCCGAAATTTAACGGTCCACACTCCAGCTGAACAGTCCAGTTGCATTCAGGAGTCGAAGCATTCCTTCCCGGGGCTGACATGCAATCTTGGAGGAACTCAAAGCCATCCTGCCTGTTGAGGCGAACAACTCCGCGGAGAGGTGGCTTGCATTCGATGCAGCAGCGCTTTGTGGATGCGCAGACAGTAAACTTAGGGTAGCTGCTGAGAGTCGATCTCTCTATTGACGAGCATCTGCCAGAAGTGTCTTGGTTGTGGTGACTCGTGTAGGCCGGAGAACGGCGTGTGCGCGGCCCAGACCTGCAAGTCAGAAGTCGAGGTCTGCATCCGTACACCTGAGACTCGCCTCCCAGGAATGTCGAAGCCGAAGCCAACAGGGCCGAGAAGGGGAAGGGCCGAGGCGGGGCCGCCGCGCAGCGTATCATGCTTGAGATGTTCGACTGTGGTGAGTGTGTTCGCTGCCAAATATACAACGGTACAAGTATCCCAACGGCCGGTACACTGAATTCCAAGATATTCCGAGCTGTGCAAGGTCTGTGCTGCTGCTCTTCAGGAAGGGCAGCACCTGGCAGTGATCGGACGTGAAGCCATGGGCTGCCACCTTGTGCAGGAGCTGTTGGTGAGACCGATGCCACAACAGCTGCTGTCATCCGCCAGGCGAGGTCTGTACACTTGGTTTCGTGCTCTGCAACATGCCCGAATTTGAAGTGCAAGTCATGACGTAGCGCGATTCAGTTGTCGTTGCATGCTCATTTTAAAGCGTTAAAGCGTTGAGAATACCAACGCACTGCGACTTCGAAACTGGGCAACACTTCGCAATGCTTTGTAGGTGGATGAGAGCATAGAGACCTTGCCGGTTGAGAACCTGTTGCATCCTTTCGAGGCCTGGAGATCGTAAAGTCTCTTCGCGTGAGTGCATCTCGTGATTCGCCATCTCATGGTGATGGAAAGTAGCTAGGATTTAAACGGTGCCTTGACAGGAACTGGAGAGCAGCAGCAACTGTTCGAGTGATCTCTCGGTCCCGCGACCCAGATAGGGCTGTGATGCTGCCCGGCCGCCTGTCCTACATGAGATTCAGGATTGCTTTCCGGAGGAGCCGCTTGCACAGGACTGCTGTGTTGCACAAGCTTGCTATGTGCCTGGAGAACTCGACAGTGACAGGTCAGGATATCCGGTAGGGGCAGCTGGCATGTAGAAGGTGGGTCTTACACCAGCCAGAGCCTCAATTCCAAAGCCAAGCCGCACCGGGTTCTTGGCAGTGACCCAACCCAGGCCGCACAGACCTGGCCAAGTCCCTTGATGAAGGAGATGCTGTGCTTGCCGGGATCCGAGTAAGTCCTGTAGTACTGCATAGCCTGGTGAGACTCCACTCGCTTCGAAACCGTGGTCACCACGGTGCTCCAAGACTGCATTCAGGTGCGCGGATCCTGGCTGGCAGAGCTCGCCCGAGGTCAACGAGGCCTTAACGGCATGAACAAAGAGTTTGTCCATCCGTTGTAGACTTATCTGTGTCTTCTTTGATGTGATCCCGAGGTGTAGTCCTGCCACGACGGCAGCAGCTACCCTCGGAGGTGCGTACACCAAACACAGAAGCAAGGAAGAGCGGAATAGCAAGGGTACAGGTACACTACAAGTCCTTTCCTGCTTCTGGCATCGGTTGCATGTAGGCAGACACATCAGCATTCCTTCAGAATTCAGGCCATCTGTGATGCAGCCGATGTTGCCGGGGGAATGCCGCTCCTGGCAGCCCTGCCCTCGGCACGGCCACGATCCCAGCCAGAGCCGAGTGACATGCATGCGGATCGCAGGTGTCGTACTGCTGGGCGACTGCAGCCCATGCAGATCCAGAGGCTCGGCGGCTCACTGCGATGGCCGTGAGGGTGGACGTAAGCGACACTCCCAGGGACAGCAGCTGCGCGTGCTGGGCCGGCTGCTTGAGCTTTGGCTCTCAGCTCCGGACACCGAAGCGCCAGGGGCCGAGCGATCAGAGTCGAGACCGACGGTTTGTTTCAGTCGGTGCCGCTTCTTTACAGCATGCCCAGAGTGCAGTGCAACCTGTCTTTCGATTGCCGCGATGCCGGTTCAACCAGTGCGAGGCGCTGTTAAGCCAATCCTGCAGCCTGCAGCCCCGGTTGCACAAATGCAAGCAGTCGGCCGTTCTTTGAGGCAGTCGCAGAGCCTCCACAGCCCGAGCATGTGCAGTCAGGACAGTCACGGCGCGGTAGGGATCGTGGCTTTCACGTTGAGGGCCAGGGTTGTATTGCCTCTCCCAGGACGGAGCTCTTCGAGACGAGGTTCGATGCTCACATGAGGAAGACGGGTGCGCGATGCGGCGGTGCCTTGCAGGTTGATGAGCAGGCCGAGGCGCCTTTGGCCTTTGGTACCCAGTCCGTGCTTCCTTCAGAGCCCTCAAAAAGCATAAGCGCCAGGGGCCATCCTCCTGCTCTGCCCGCAGGCACGCCTTCTGTTGCTTCTTGCAGTCCAGTGGATATACTGCCATTCTACCCGACTAAGTAACTACATTAAACCGCGGGACAGCACATACAGCCTTGGCAGTGCCGGCTTTGTGATTGTGCAGCTGAGTGTACGATGCAGCGGGACAGGAAAGACTGCGCCGTTCTTTTGGACTGGTGCAGCTGTTTCCAGGCGTCTCGGCCTTTGGCATGCTTGCGACAGTTACTGTGAAGTCGCGCAACTCCATCGTTGCAGGAGCCTCGATTTGCAGATGAAAGGCGCTCCGCCGAACGCTTTCTGCAGCAGGCTCGTGGAAGAATTTGCGAGCCTCAAGAGTCAGCCTGTGGAGCGAAGCTTACAGGAGTCGTGTCGGCCCCCGGGGCTTTTGCCCTGTCAAGTGGTAGTGGTAACCCTTGGTAACTCGCATCGGTAGGCATGAACAGTCCCAAAGTGCAGTCTTCATCCGGTCTTTGAGCTTACCCTGTTGATTTAGATTGGCTGTTTCACCGACGGGCACCTCCTATCCAGTGCAGAACTTGCTTCAGCCTCTGCAGCCTCCAACCTGAGAGCAGCTTTCGAGCTAGAACGCTGGAAGCTTTCGCCGGTGCTGTACCAGACCAGGTTGGTCGATGGTTTGCGCCTGGGCCTCGTACAACCTCCAGCCTTGCTCGCTGCTCGCGTCATTCGATGGCTCACAGCGGAGACTCGGCGACCGTCGGCGACAGCCGAGATCCTTCTCTGAGGCACGAGCACACCATGGTCTGGATGCTAACGAACTCGCCCATCGGAGCAGTCCGGCCCTGGGACAAGCTATGATTCACGCATGCGGTCAGTGCAAGATTATATCAGGAGCCCTACAATCTGCGCGGCTGGCCGACCTTCGAACGAGCGATGGCCATAGCGAACCAACTCTTCAAGCTTGCGGCTCGGACATTTGACACCCTATCTCAGGCGGTCAGCTTGCTGCCGGCTGGCAGTAAGCAGGTCCTGGACATAGGCGAGAGCATATGAGAGCATCCGAGCGCCCGATCGCATCCACCAAACTTGCAGCGCACAGGCCGACTGACCCAGGAGGCACTACGAGCAGCGGACTGGCTCGGAACCCAAAACGCCGCCGTAGCAAGGACGGTGACAAAGCAGACAACCCTGCAAGCAGCCTGCAAGGCCTGCCGTCCTGCGCGCTTGCAAAGCCAGGAGACCACCGCCGTTGACGCCCTGCGCTCGCGGTTTCTGCAAGCATTCGCAAAAAAGTCAAGCATGATGCAGTACCGAGGCCCTCTGAGTTTCATGCGCAACTGCAAAGGAAACACTTCTCCTGGAGTGGCATTCTCAGCTGTACAGTCTGAGAGGACATGATGGTACATGAAACGAAGCTGCGCCAGCTGAGGCCTCGACCGGGATCTACTTGGAACACTTTACCAAGAAGCCTACGAGGACCACACCGCAGTGCAACTTGCACCGGGTGGCAGGTGCCGAACGAGAATTGTCAATCCCAACAGGGCTGTGAGTCGCCCGGCCGCTCGAGCCAGAGCTCAACCCCATACCAGAACTGCAGACTCCCCGGCGTCAACGTCCCAAAATCAGAAGACAACCGTCAACGTTCCGAAGTTGGATTCCACAGCGTGAGCAGAGCAACTGGAGTCAGGATCTAGTCGCCGGCGCCGTTGAGATGCCTTTGGCGCGTCTGGACTGGGGGGACGAGGAGATGGGCCAGTCAAGCCCTTGGCACCGGGTTCTGATGACAGAACGTGAAAGACATGTCAACTATTGCCACGGAAGGCTTTACGGCACACTCTCCAGCTGTACCCAGCTGCAGCGTGCTGCACTAAGACTGCCCATCGGTGAGAGCCATCTAACGTAGCAGTCGACAAAGTCTATGTGAAGGCTTGAACCTGGCTCGGAACCGCATTGGAGACACGGGAGCGGAGAAGCTGGTCCGCAGCTCGGGATTCGAACATGCGTGAGCCAATCTCTCCGGAGAGCCACAAGCAGCAACGTTGTTCGTCTCGTCTTTTTGTGAGGCTGACGCCATGTTGAGCAGCCCACGGCTCTTGCAGCAGGAGCCTTAACGCAGCTCCCGATGTCGGTTTGGGTTACAAGCTTGGAATACAATCATGATTGAGCACGTGCGGGCCACGATCATGGTTTCCAGGTCGCTGATCTTCTTGGACCTGTCCGGCAACGAGATCGGCGACCTGGGCCTTTGCAGTCCGGGGCTGAGTCCGCAGAAACTCTGAACAGCTGCAAACACAAAGCAACCCTGTTCTTTCAAAAAACTGGGGGCCCGTGCAGGGGGAGTTATGCGTTATGCCTTCCTAGATGTTTGAGAGGAAGACGCGTGCCATCCCAGGCCTGGCTGCGGCGCTCCCGAGCTTGTCCGACATCCAGTCGCTGGAGCTGGACCGCTGGAGTCTCAACGCCGCTGTTCAATGCACCGCACATGCCCTCTTCGTCTTGAAGTGGTCTGGCAAATCCTGCCGCACATCTGTCTCTTATGTATTCAAGGCAATTTCATTGGAGACCAGGGTGCCTGCGGCTTGGCCACTGCCCTCCCTCGCACAGGCCGCATGCCGTCCTTGTGTGTGTGTGTGTCGTGCGCGGCATGAAGGGACAGGGAGATGTAGTTTTTCGGAAGCTGATCGATGAAAACACCAGTCTCGACAGTTGGCAGCTTGGACACTTGCAGCTTGGAAGAAAGCACAGAAGCAGCCTGGAATTAATGAAGGTACCCAGCGACTGAAGAGTGAATACGAAGTGAAGACTTCTTCGCAGTCAGCATCGCTGCGCGACATGCTGATGTGTTCGGTCAGTGTTGAGCCGAAGCGACCATGACCGACCTTGCATTCGTATTTAGCTAGCGTGGTGCCTTCACGGCTTTGCAAGCTTGGCGTAGCATAGATTGTCAGGATTGGAGCGAGCTGGAACCAGCCCGTGTCAGCAGCTAAAGCAGCATCGAAGACAACAATCACACCAGACCCACGACAGGAGAATGGTGCACTAGAGCAAGACACTCCAGCGCGAAGAAACAAGCCTCTTGCGAGGGCTCTGTGCAACGTGGATGTAGAAACCGTCTAGAGTTATCGAAAATCACCTCGGCCATGCATGCCGCAGCTGACTAGGTGAAGCGCGGACGGCACAAATCCATTGTCGAGCTTGAGCTGAAAAAGCTGGCTCTCCAAAGCCATGGATGCCGCTTCTGAGCCCAGTGCACGGGGCGGCATCTGTCTACCAACTTGCAATAACTAAGGATTTAGTCAAACTAACATTGTGCTTAATTACTGCAGCCGTCAGGATGTTAGGTGGGGTAAGATCGGCGCCGTTGGGGTTTGGTCCGTCCGTTTGGAGTTTGGAGGCGCAAGCGGCGAGGGAGGAGCTGGCGTGGTGAGGGTGTCACGGCAGAGTTGAAGCCGGCAAAGGCGAACAGAACCGTCGTGATCCGTCGTGTATACCAGTGCAACTTAGCAGGCACGTCCAGCTCCACTTGCTTGCTATGACCCAAAAAACACGCAAGCTTTCGGGGTCGGACGGCTGAGCCTTTCCCTGTGGGTAACCGTCTGACTCTGCGCACCTGTCACAGGCTTGAGACGGCTCGTCCTTCGTGGGCGTGGACCTCGGTCGTGGATTCCTTGCGCACACAACGATAATTGACCACGGGCTTAGCTCGCGAGTTGAAGGAATGAAATCGGTGACGGAGGCGCTGGCGAACTTGTCAGTCCCTCATGGATGTGACTGGAAGACAAGATCCGGCGACATCAAAGACGTCACCGACCAAGGCACTCGTAATGCCACGATGCAACAGCTTGCAGCTCCTGGATTTGAGTGAGAACGAGGCTTGTGTGCCTGCCCGCCTCCAGTCCACACTGTGTCTTGAGATCCATTTCAGCGGATAAAAACATCCTTGTACAGGCAGCTTGTGTCCAGGTTCTTTTTTCAAGTGGTCATAATCCTCTGGTTAATATAGAACATAGGCCGCCTGATAAGGTTTTGACTTGAAGGGTTGACGAGCCTCACGAGCTTTGGTACGAGCACACGCGAGTGTCGAGAGAGGCTACAACAATGATGTCCGTACTTTGCACTCCTCCAGTCTTGCTTCATTTCGCCGAGCTAGGGAGAGGTCGGGGCATGTGCTGCAGAGTCAAGTGTGGTGAAGCAGGTCAGCGACGTTGGCGCTGAGCGATTTGCCGCGGCACTGCCAAAGTGCGACAAGCTGCAGAGGCGAGGTCCGCGAGCGCAAAAACGCCAGAACTGCCGAGAGCATCCTCGACATTTCGATTCGAGGTTTGATCTTGCACGCAATCGAGTGGGAGATCGCGGTGCATTGAGCCTTGCCGCGGCTTTGCCCAAGTGCAAGCTTGAGGCAGGGCTTGGCAGTGTCTGAACTGTGCGTAAACTGCCTGAAGTGGTGCTTTGCCTTATCTATTTCAATGTTGCGTTTGACTTCACGACGTGCGCCGTTATGAGGCTCGCTGCATCTCCAGTCTCCAGCGTTTTCTCAGCATGAGGCCTTCGGCCTTGGCGGGCACGAAGTTGGGGAAATTTTGGGTGGAGGGCGCATTGGCCGTGGCCTCAACGAGAGCTCATTCCCATTCTAGATCTCGTCCTGAATCGAAGTGGCATGGAGCATGGAAAGGTGATGGGGGTGCAGGGTTGCTGGCATCCGCTCTTCTGCGGTGCGAGCGTCTTTGCAGGCTAGATTTGAGCACGATCCTCAGGTGGTGTCGGCACTAGTACCTTGCAGCTCTGCCATCCCGAATCCGAGGTGAGAATCAAATCGGCGATGGTGGCACAGCACAGTTGGCTGCTGCAGGGTGCCAAGCGCTGCGCAGGTAAAGCCCAGTGAGCGACGCCGCAAAAAAGCTGGCAGGGGCAAGCTTCTCACGCCCGCTGAGGCTATGCCACATTGTGGTCAGCTTGCTGAGCTCTTCGCTCGGATCGGCAAGACGGCAAGCTACAAAATTCCAAGTTTCAGCTCTGTGGGCAGACCTTGGTCTGCTCGTCTTGGGACTTCGGGGCGTCTCGCGTCCTCGGATTTCGCGATAGGCGACTGTGACTCTTGAGAATTGGCCCCATAAGGCCCCCCCATTGCTTGAAGTGCCGAGGCTGAGCATTGCAGGACCCCAAACAGTAAGAAGTGCACAGAACAAGTCAACCAGATGTCATGACCGGAGAGTGCGCATCGGTATGCCCCTACTTCGTCTACTTCAGCTGCTTGTTCCTGCTTCTTCTGTCGTGAATTCGCCGGCTAGACACTGGCTTCTGCCCCTGCTGACTGCCTGAAGCCCTTGGGGCACTGCACCGCAATGTTCCCTACATGTCGATACGTTGCCAAGGCTCGACCTCTACCGCAATTGCATCGCTGACCGGGGCGTCGGAAGGCTTGCAGAGGCATGGAACAGCAAGTCTTTGGCAGTTTTGAAGATGCAGAGCAATTCCTGGCTTCGGGAGGCAGTGCCGCAATGTGGCCATCTCGACTGGTGCAGCTCGCAGAGTGCAGCAGACATCATGCAGTAGTCTGCCGCATTCAGCGAGCATCTTGAATCCTCATCCGTGCCAAAGGCTTCGTTTGCTCGAGAATCCCGTCGGTGCCAAAGGCGCACGTCGACTGGCAGAAGCTTGGGAGGCTCTGCTGTGCACGGACTTGCCAAGCGACTGACGCCGTCCCGCTGCTCATGTTCAGTGACTCAACCGAATCGTCAAGCGAGGCTGCGGGCAAGCCGAAAGGGCAAGATCCCTGGTGCAGCGATGTATCTCGGGACGGATGAGAGGGTACGTGCTGAGGCGACTGCTGTGTCAACCGGGTGATAAAAATGGAGGCCGTTGCAGCTTTTGTGCTTGGATCGGTTGACATGTGACAAAGTGTCGCAACGTGCTCTACCCCGCTACAGGCGTCGCTGGCTACGCTGGCTGGGCAAGTTGGGGCAGCAAGATGCCCAGCTCTGCTGTGGTGAGAACTCAGAGACTTTGATTTGCAGAAGCTCCTCAAGAAATCCCGGCTCAGGTCCCGTGGTTCCCGGCGAGGGTCCACAAGTTTCGGGACGAGGTCCGGTTAGGGACAAACTAAGCTCCCTAGCTCTGCCAATGATCTGCCCGCGAGAAGGTAACAAAGAAGCAGCAGCTCCAGTCTCGTCACGCACATCACTGCCTGCCTCCAAGTTCCCACAGTATAGAGCCAGCTGTGGTCTGCGATCCTAGTTGCGGAGACGAGGTGACGGGAAAGCGGTGAGTGTGACGGGCGTGCGCTTCTCAGTCCAGAGAGCTGGGTGTGTCTGGGTAGCGACAAGGGTCCGATGACATGATGACACTGATGCTCGTGCGCCTGCCTGCTATTGCAAGCATCGAAGTGTTTGGACATTGCTTTGTACCGCACAGCCGGAATGTACAATGATGTGGACTTCTCATTCGGCGTGTCGTGTGCCGACCAACACCGACTTGTTGGGCATTTTGCTGAAATATTTTCGGCCCATCAAGTCTAGAGTCTAGATTCTAGATGTTTGCGGTCCAGTTCTGGGACTAGTGCAATCAGTACAAACAGAGAACTAGTAGCTAAGACTGGTGTTCCTAGTACTAACCCTAATGTAGAATCATCTGAGAGCTTAGAAGGTATTTCCAACGGTAAGAACAAAGTCTCCCGCCCGAACGCCGCAAATTGACCTGGGCCCATGAGATTACCAGAGGATCCATGGTTCAAAAACTGATCTGGTTCTGCTACGGCTGCTACGGCGCTCAACGACAATCCTGTCTTTCATCCTGGCCTACGTGAAGTCTCCAGCTCTTGGGAATCGGACAGTTTAGGGTTTACAGCCTCAAAGCTTCGATTAGCTGCAAGCTGTAAGGTTCGACGCTCGTAACTGAACTCTGCGTCAAAGGCATTTGCTCCGCGAAGGTTGCATTCTACACTTGCATTGGAGGATCGAGTGGCCGCTCTCATCAGAAGCTGGTGTGTTTCTGTTGGGCACGCATATGTGTGCGAAGTTGTTTCTTGTATGTCTAGCAGTGTTTATGTCCCCACACATACTCACACAAGCTCCGGAGTCAACGACTCCGCGAAGTCGAAGAGCATTGGCGAGCACAAACAAGCTGTCGAGGGGACCGAGAGCGGTCCCAACATAGAACCGTTTGAAAGTAGTGGTTTAGTTCAGGCCATTCAGGACTCGAGCCTGGACTTTCAAGCGACTTTGCAAGAAAGTGCCGTGATTCGGAGCCCCACAGGCACTGGCTCGCTGTCATGTGATGCAGAGCACGGAAGCAAATTCCGCAGCTGAGGCGGTGTTTTACGTGGTCTCGTTCTTGCGTCTTCTGTGGCTGATGAGGCACGTCAGTGCCACAAAATCCCTTTTGGCCGTCCACCACCGCGGCAGCTTCGACTGTACAAAGCCTGCGAAGCTTTCGTCGCATGAGGGGCTTTTACAGAATCCATTAACTCACAAGTAAGCTTTGCTACAATCTGTACCAACATGCAGTAACATAAGAACCCCCGGGGTGGTCAGCGATCTCGGCAGATGCGAACTTTTTGAACTCTGAAATCCCGAAGCCTTTCGAGGGCACAAGGCCTGTCAAAGGTGAAGGTGTGATATAGACGTTTGGATACCTAGACTCTAGAAGACTGTCAATTAGAACACTAGACATATAGTGTATGCAAACAGAGAATCTTTTGCCAACCTATCCTCCCATGTCTAGTGCCAGTGCAGCCAGTCATGCAGTAGGCTCGGGCTTTTGCAGGCTGCTGGCTCGCAAGTTGTCTCACTCGTAGACTTCGCGGGTGCACTCAAGGTGTCCTTCGAGCAAAAGGAGTTTCTCTCGGAATGTCGGGAGCTTTGAAACGTGCTGGGTTGTATCGGTGGCACGACGAGACTGCATTTAGCAAATGCCAGTTGAAAGACTGCCAAAGAAACGCAACGAGGACCAAGGATGACCAGTGCCAGGGATCGCCCATATGTCTTACGGGCGGGAGAACGAAAATGCTTCAATTTTCCGAAAAGCCTGGACCACGAGGCAAGCACAAGTTCACTGGAGCATGCCTTCTTCTCTTTACAGGTGTGCCATCATTGTACGCGTTCCGGGGCCAGCCAGTTCAAGGTCCTTCAGAGAGCTTCCCCGAGATGTGCCGTTTTGTGGTCATAGGCACATAGTGCGTCCAGTGTGCATTGCAGCATGTGTCAACCGTGAGGATACGCTCCACTGCCACAGGAGACTGGCGCACCCATTTCGGCACCGGCCGAGTCGGGTGCACGATCATGAAAAGCTGCGTAGGCCAACAGCTGCACAGAGATCGGCCGGCGCGGTCGCCTTCGTCTAGTGGAGTCGGTCGGCCGACATCGCAGATTGATGATCAAGTAGGTTTTTTTAAGGCCAGCTGTTGAACAGTTATTCACCCAGACAACATCAACATCCTAAGTCCTGGGCTTCTTCGGCAAGCATTCATTGATTCATGACTGGCTGCAAACCTGCTGGATGATCTCTGCCTGGTATGCGTTATATCGCCGCGCTGGAACGATGCAGGTGCATGTCTAGTCACGGAAGGCAGCACAAGCATCAACCTTGCAGCAACTTCTCAATGCAGCTAGATGCAGTTTCGGCATCCGAACAATGCAGCGAGCAGTGTGAGCCATGGCTGCGATGCTCGGGTCAGTGAGTGCGTGCGAGACTTGTGACATTGCTCGCCGCTGATGCCGCAGCAGTCCAAAGTAGAGAGAACGATCCTCGGTGAGATCGAGGAGAGTCAAGAAGAGAAGAGAAAGCGTCGCGAGTTTCGCCAGAAGCAGCAAGCGCGAGCAGAGCGCAAAAGGCTGAGACAAGAGGAGAAACTTCGGATCCAGAAGGAGACCAAGGCAAAACGGGAAGCCCGGAAGAGGCAGCGGGAAGCACAGCGCATATTGGGCCATGAGGCTACGCTTCCAGGTAGACCACATAGCGCATCTAGGACGCAAACCGATGAAGGCTCAGACTTGGGCGACACTGCCATTACTGTGCGGTCCGAAGATGACACGCAACCCAGATTGCAGAGATCAGGAACCACGGTGTCTGGTATGTCTTATGGGACTGGTACATCAGATGCATCCGACAATTTAGCCGACAGCGATGATGAAGCGTCTGGGCGACACGGAAGCAGGCGGATGACACCGCAGCTGAGCAGGCAGGCCTCCCGGAACTCACTGCGAGGGCAGCAGCGTGCGACCACCGGGTCGATGTTCGACGATGCCCCCAAGAAGCTGAAGTCTTCAATCACGGGTGCCATCAGTGGTGGACTGCAAAAGACGGGCGCCAAGGTGATAAGGACAGGCACGACAGTGGGGCTGCTCCTTGGGGTGGTGCCTTCCAAATCATCTCGGGACTTCTTGCGGAGGAAGGTGGCGAAGCTACTCCCCAAAAGGATCCAGGTAGGAAGGCTTAGGAATTCGGGTAGCAAGGAGACAGCGGATGACGACGACGCGGCATCCGAGGACAGCGAGACCGAGCAGATCAAGGAAGTTCGGCGCAAGTTCAGAGAGAAACAGCTGCGTTCTTCAGCCTCCCTGGATGGTGCCAATGACAACGTCCTAGCACGTGCAAGGGAAGCCGTGGGCATTCCCGAATCAGAAGAGGAGTACTCGTGCTGGTTGCGCATGCAAAGCAGAACCGGCATCTTGTGGTGTCGTATGCAAATCGCAGTGCGGAAGCTCCATGTTCAGGACCATCCTCCTCATCCTTCTTTGAAGAAGTTTGTCGAGTCGCTCCGCTTTGAAGCAGCAATCGGTGTCCTGATTGTCCTGAACGGGATCATCTCTGGCATGGATGCCATGTACAAGGCAGATGAGGAAAGGGCACCGTTCATCACTTGGGCGGAGAACTTCTTTGTGGTAGTGTTTGTCTTGGAGTACTTTTTACGCTTACGCGCAAATACATGGGTCTTTATGTTCGAGCCGATGAACATATTCGATACCTTTGTGGTTTGGGTCACAGGTGTCCTTGTTGTTTGGATTCTGGAGCCAAGCGGAATAACCTTCGACCCTCTGCGCCGTTTGGCCGCGCTGCGAGTTCTGCGCTTGGGTCGCTTGGCACGTGCTGTGCGAACGAAGCCCATGTTCCACGAGCTGTGGATGCTGGTGAGCGGCGTCCTGGAATGTTTACCGCTTCTATTCTGGTCAATGGTGATCATCGCGATCGTGCATTTCATGTTTGCAGTAGCAGTCATGGAAATCATCACGAAAGCAGAAGTGTTTAAAGGGAACGAAACCGTGTGGTTCTACTTCCCAACCTTGGCCTACTCCATGTTCACATTATTCCAGTTTATGACCTTCGACAGTTGGGCGGGCCCTGCGAGGGAGATCATCGCAGTGATGCCGGAAGCGGCTGCTCTCATCCTGTTCTTCCTAGGTGTGGCCGGAATTGTGCTTTTCAACCTAATGACGGCCATCGTCGTAAAGAACGCCTTCGACGCAGCAGAAGCTGATGAAGAGGCCAAGGCACAGCAGCAGGTGCAGAACCAGGCCACGATGGCTGCTGACTTGAGGGAGATGTTTCAGGCTCTTGATGAAGATGGCAGTGGCACACTAAGCCGGGAAGAGTTCACCGATGTGCTAGACGATGTCATGTTCATTCGGCACATGAAGAAGTTGGACATTGACTTGGAAGAGTTGCCTGACATCTTCGACATTCTGGATGATGGTGACGGCAACATTACCACAGAGGAGTTCTGCATGGGCCTGACTCGATTGCAAGGGGTCGCAATGAGTCGCGACATGTTGAGGTGCACCTCGCGCAACATGCAGCTCAACGCGCTCTTTGCCCAAGTGTCTGAATGCATGGGCGTCAAGGTTGACAACACCCTGGGCAAGATGGAGATGAGCATGGAGGCAACACACGAGAACCTTGTGGAGTTACAGCAAATGACCGCAGAAGTCTTGAGGAAACTCGAAGAGGCCGGTCTTCACAGAGCAGTTCGCTCAACCACTGAAGGTTTGGATGAACTCGCACCTCCCACCTTGGAGGAAATTGCAAAGCAAGAAGAAGAAGCCGCACGACAAGCGGACCTGGCCAAGTTCGGTCGTGTCACCAAGGTCGTAAAGCCAAGTTCGCAGCCACGTGCGACAGAAAGCTTCCCACGGATCCCAGCGACGTGGGTCCTGACACGGAAGAAGGATCTGGAGCAGCGGAAGCAGGCCATGCGAGCTCAGCAGTGGGAAGATGTGGCAGCCGAGACCGTCAAAGAAGTCCAGGAGCTGCCAGGTGT